TCTTAAAGTTCTCATGTGGCTCCTGATGCTCATAGGCTTCGTGTGCCAGGATCCAGGCCAACGGTCAAGCCGGACCATTTACCATTCATCTGAATCTGTCAGGAGAAATCCATACCAGAAGCTGCAGGTAAGTGACTTCAAGAAGCCAGAGCTGAGGAGGATAGCAGGAAGTAATTCTCACTGAATTTAACTCAGAGGTGAGAGAGGCAGTGAACAAAGTTATCTATATTCTAGCATAACTACAGAAGAAGAAATTCTTTTCTGTGTGGGTGGTGAGGCACTGGAACAGGTTGTCCAGAGAGGTTATGGACTCCCCATCCCTGGAGTTGTTCAGGACCAGACTTGGATGGGGCTCTGAGCACCCTGGTCTAGTGGAAGGTTGCCTGCCCATGGCAGGGCACTTGGAGCTGGGTGACCTTTAAGGTCCAGTCCAACTCAAACCATTCTATGATTCTAAGACACTCAGGGGATGCATCTGAGTTATGGGCTGTTCAGCCACTTTCATGTTGGGGGCAACAAGCTTCCAGAACCCTAGAATTTTATGAATGTCTCCAAGACCCCCTTCTAGGCAGAAAGAGCTTTATGGATTTAAAATTTAAGGTTCCTTTCCCATTCTCTCTTGGAATCTCTCACTTCCTTTCTCATGGACTGTTGAACTGAGGCCTCATGTGGCTTGCTGTGATAGCCCATTACCTTTTCTGCTGAGGTAATGCTTTCTTAGCACTGTAATGCTGAAGGGCAGTTGTTTTCTCTCACTTTTTGGCTATGAAATGGATTCCTTAAATATCTGTGGAAACTGAGCACTCACAAAAGGCAGGGTGATCTGCTATGTCACTTGGACTTTCAACACATTTCTCCTCAGGCAAATAGGCAAGCAGTCTGCCCTGACACACTGCGGCTGATGCATGTGCTGCTGTGAGGGATGTGCAACATGGCTGTGTAGCACAAGTTCAATTAGGAAATGGCAAGTCATTTTTGTTCAGTGACAGTATACCAATGCACTGTCGATTTTGGTAGAGGGAAAAGTCACAGAAATTGCAATATTTTTCTTGTAAAACTGAGTCTTTAGTCACTGGGAGAGAAGTGAATAGCTGGTAAGATGGGATTCGAGTATCTGTAGGATGCACATCTGACTCTGAAGCTTCTGAGACCCATTTAATAGAGAGTGTTTATGTACAGATCCCTCTGACCATAAAGATGTTCTTCGTGGCGGACAAAAGGTACATCAGATAAATTAGGAATTTATACAGAAAAAGTACCCTGCTCTCTTAGAGTAATGTGATCATATGTGATTCATGTGATAGAGCAATGGTTATGAAATGGGATTAATGTACCTTTTGGGACAGGTGTCTCCCTTACCTGTGTTTAATAGGAACAGTCTTATAATGCAGTGATTAAAGTTTTATAGCATATTTTTCATAAGTACCTAAATGGAAATCCCATGGCTAAATAAGTGTTTAGATCTTTCATGGTTCAAAAATGTTTTAGCCTGTTCTTTGCTGAATTCTATCTCAGATTGTTAGATCTTTGCTACCTGTTTCCATTCTCAGTTGCAAAGGGTACATTGAACCTCTTCTGTTTTTCTTAACTCCTTTATGATGTCTTAGACAGTATTTAGTCATTGTAAAAGTTGCTGCTTGGGAAAGAAATGCTGATACCAGTGCTCTTGAGAGACTATCTTGGATAACTATCTTGAGATAGTTACTCTGTTTTCTGAGTTTCAGCAGGCTGGACTGGAACTTCATAGTACTATTTCTTTGGTTTGACTCTGAGCACTTCTCCCTCCAAGGAAATAAACTGTTCAGCTGCTTCCTTTGTAACTTCTTGTTGGTTTGGGTTGGAGCTCTTTTAATTAATCGTGAGCAATAAAGGGCCCTTGACTTGTTTTGTATAGACCAAGAGTAGAGAAGAACTTGGCAGTAGTACAACTAGAAATGATAGATAGGTCTCTTTAGAATCCTTTCTTACACCATTTGCTCCTCTTGGGCATTGGAGGGGAGGAAGACAGGCTGAATACAACTGAAGGCAAGAAAAATCTAAGTTTCTGTGATAATAATTTTATTTTGAGCCTGCCCCTGCCATTAAACTGGTCTTGCTTGTAGGCCTGACAGCAGATAATTCAGGATACTTTGTGACATTCTGATGATGTTTCTACACCTGTTTTGGAATGCTGCATAGTGTCTTGGTTTCGGCTGGAAGGGACCTTTAAAGATCGAGTTCCAACCCCTCTGCCATGGGCTGGGACACCTTCCACTAGACCAGGTTGCTCCACGCCCCATCTAACCTGTCCTTGAACGCTTCCAGGAATGGAACATCCACAGCTTCTCTGGGCAACCTGTTCCAGTGCTTCATCACTCTTTGATTGTACTCCTCAGCAGCTTGCACAGGGATGAGAGTGTCTTGGAGAACATAAGATTTTTATTCTCTTTGTGTCTCTTGCAGCGTCCTGTGTCTGCACAGTCGCAAACAGCAAACAGCAGATTGGTAAGTGCCCTTCAGCTCCTATCACCAATATAAGGGGTGCAACTTCAAACATTACCTTATGCAATGCTTTTGGCATAATTAGTCCCCAAAGATATTTTATGGCTAGAGTAACCTGGTGCAGGGAGGAGGGAAGTCAAAAAGAAAAAAGGAGATGGTGCTGGCATACATTTCCATGTGGCAAAACAGATGTTGTAAAAATATTTACATTGCTTCTAGCAGCTTAAAAAAAGAATTAGGTGAGGTGTGCTGAGAGTCAAGGTCAACTGGATCAAATCCCTCAAAGTATTTCTGAACTGCATTTAAAAAAAAGTGATAGAGATGCTTAAAGATGATGTTGTCACTCCGGTCATCAAATGATGAAGACAGTGGCGGCAGTGTTCTGCATTGGGTAGGTCATGGAAAAGGAAAGTGCAAAACCAAGGGAAAAGCTGGTGAAAACAGTAGCAAATAAGAGTGTCACACCAAAGGGGAGGAGGAAGAGGAATTTTTGTCTGGTGTACTACAGAAGATGTAATAAGTCTGAATGATAAGGAAAACACTGGTGCGACTGTGCAGACAAAATTCAGGTGGCACCATAGAAGAAGGAACCGTTTTCTGTGAGACAGTCATCTGAAGGACACTGCAAAGATTTGAGAGCAGACTGGGTCAAAATAGGTACAAAGGATTTCTCAAAGTTAATGGAAAAATATTGGACTATTGTTAGCATAAGCCAGACTGGTCTATCTTTCTAAATGTCATGTTTGTCACCTTTCTTGCAAGCCATATGGACAAATCAATCCTCCTTGGCAGTTCTAAGCACCTGGCTGTGTGGGGATGTGGTAGGCATTATTTTGCTGCTGGGCTTCCTGCAGAAGTGTAATAAGAATGTTTCTCATTTTTTATGAGATCTCCCAGCAGGAAGGAAGGTAGGACAGATGGAATCATCTTGAGAACTTGATTCGTTCTATGCACTGCCGTTCATGTCATTCTGTGTCAGTTTAGCTGAGGCTCAGAGGAAAGAGTCTTATTGAATAATGAGGTTTCATAGAGAATAGGAAGGATCTTTGTGCCAAGTGCTGTCAGTGCTTAGTATGATTAGAATCATGATGTGAGAACCAGGAATACTTTCAGAATTTGGAGATATACCAAAGCAGTTGGATTTATCTATACTTTTAAAGATAAGCTGGGTCAAAAATGAAACCAGATCTTTGTGAAGTTGGAGACATTTCTGTGCTACAGCCAGAGGGTATTCTGTAGTGAAACACTGAAAAAAGCGTTTGTGCAGGAAGTACAGTAAAGTTAGAGATCTCCAGCATTTTGAAGCAGTGTAGTCTTGTTCTCAGGTAGAAGCCAGAGCTGCCAGTACATAGGCTTGTTTTCTGTTTATAATCTAACTTGTATTTTAAGATTTTATAATCCCAGTAATTTGAAGACATTTTGAATTCCTGTCCTTTTGTTAGAATTAATCAGGACTGCTCATTGGGTTAAGAATAAGCTTAGTGAGACTGCAAATTATTGCTTTTCTTATTGTTCTAAAATTTGCATATTTATGCAAATTTGCATGATATATCTATGTACATATGCAGGTTCTGTCTGTTAAGTGTGAGAAGTAGCAAGTCGACATCCTGCAATATAGTAGCAAAAGAAAATGAGTGATGAACTTTTCCCTGCAACATTTATCTGATCTGTGAATCACAGGTCTGTTCATGTAGTGTAGCAACACAACTAGAACAGAGTATCATCGTTCTGGTGCTGTTGATGTGTGAATTTAAGTGTATCTGGGGTCTGTGAATATTGGCTCTGGTGCCCTTTGGGTGAAGATTTTTCTGTATGAAATGCTGACTTTGGTGCTTTTGGGTATGTTTCATGTTTCTCTGGAAGGGGCCAGGGGTGTAAATACTGGCACTGATGCCTGAAATGTAAGTCCTGCTGTGCTAAAATCTAAGAATGTGAATACTCACACTTAGTGCCTGCTGTGGTGTGGACTCTTCAACAGCTGGAGCTTGGAATTGTGAATTCTGGCTGTAGTGCTCTACAGTGTAGGTCCTGCTGGGAATGGGGTCTTGGAATTGGAATGTAACTTTTTTTAATAAGAAAAGTGGGAGAGGAAGAGAAAAATCTGGATTCATACTGTCTCTACAGCGTACCCGTCCTTTGTCTGCCAGTGATGCTGAAGCTAAAAGCTCGATGGCCTTAGGCAGGGAAAAAGCAACAGGAAGGCAAAGCAGCTCTGTGCTAGGTCTCTCCATGGAGGAGGTAAGTAGGCTATTAAACATCTTTTATCTACCTTGGCTTTCAAACAATACTGTGGAGTTATTTACTCAACAAAGAGCAGGTGTATGTATATGAAAAGCATGACAGAAGTAGTATAATTTTTGAAACAGAACTGCTGAGTTTTACTACTGGTACTGCCCTTGCCCTCAATCATGCCAGGCATACGTAAGTGCTTGAAGCAGTGGTAGATTCTTTCAGAATCTAAGTGCAAAACAAAATTGCTAAAGGTTATCATATGTGCCCAGCCTATTCCCAGGACTGAACGACCTTGTTCTCTGAAACTCAGAGGGTTTTTGTAAGGTTCTTTTTTTGTTATATCTCTTTTGTATCTATTTGTATTTATGATTCTGCCCCCAGATAAGAGTTCTTCGGCGAGTGAGAGAGGAAAATGAACGGAGAGGAGGCTTCATCCGAATATTCCCTACCCCATTAACATGGGACCTTTATGGGTAAGAATAAGAATCTGATAGGATGGCACTGATCCTCTGTGTTGAAAGATATTCTGTGTTAGGTATACGTAGATCAACCATCTTGGCAATGAAAAAGATGTTTTGAGAGTTTTGGTAGCATTTATTTTAGCGTTTCATTCTGAAAGTGATCCTATATCACACTTTTTATTTTTCCAGTCTGTTGCTTGCATCACCAGGAACTTCAGCTCTCCTCCTTTCCTCTTTCCTGTTATGGTACAGCATGTTGTCTGGATCCATTTCTGGGATATTTTTAGTAGATCTTTTATTTCTGTATTATGCTGCCTTACATTGTGTTGAGCGGTCTTGATAATCCTGTATTTTGTTTTTTCTAGATCCTTTTTAGAGCACAAGACATCAATGAACTACATGCTGGCTACACGTCTGTTTCAAGACAGGTAGAAAGCTTTACTCTTTGGGAGAGAGGTAAAGGGCACAAACAGCATGAAAAAGATTGATTCCTCAGTTATCCAGTGTTATACACACTGGTCTGTTCTTTGCAGGAGTGGTAACAGTTGTGCATCTGTTCTCTAGTGTGCCACTGACTGTGGAGGTTTCTTGTATATTTATGTTGCACTTCTGAATCCAAAAAGGATGATACACGAAAGGTTTGGGAGTCATTGGAGTATGAAGATTATTGTAGCCATAAAAACCCCTCAAGCTTCTAGGTGTCTCTGAAGAGATTATAGGTGGTCCTTGCTTACCTTTTGTTTCAAATTTCAAGTCCTGTTAGAGCTTGTCGTCATGTAAAGTAAGTACTGATATTGACTCCTTCAGTGGTTTAGTATCCCCATCTCTTGACTATGCACTCATCATTTGATGCCTCTTTCTCTGGGTTGTGCTTGGGTGGAAATGACAATTCATGCCTTTAGCTGAACTTCCATTGAGAGTTGTATGCAGCATGTTTCACTGTATGTTTACTGCCCTTCCTTCTCAACAATTCTTATCCAAATTTGACATCCACTGTAAATTAACTATCAAGTAAGGATAAGGTAGCTGAGTAAGGAGACAGTATTTACAGAAGCAATTCCTGTGTCAGCACTGTACAACTTTTTTTCCCCTGCGTGCTTTCAGAGATGTGTCCAAAGGGTAGTTCCAAATGACACCTTCTCTGACTTAAGCCAGACAGATACAAGTATCAGTTGTAGTACAGCTGCTCAAATTTCCTCATGTGAAGCCCTATTTTTTCTCCTTTAAGATAGAACTCACAAGTAATTCTGTAAATGTGGTCTTTTCATTGTGCATATGAAAGATTATGGTGGCTTTTAAATTCAGACTGATCCAGAATGGAAGGTAACTTTTGACAATTTTACTCTTTGTAGGAGCAAGATGAAAAGAGACTTCATCGCTGGGAGATCCCGGTAAATGGCTTCTTAATTAAATAATTTGTGCTTGTTAATTTTATTCTAGATTTAGATTTCCACAGCTTCATCTTTCAGGTCATGGGTCAACACCTTTTCTACCTGAAATCCATGAAAATAATTTTAGAAGCATAAATACAGTGAGAAAAGAATATACCCACATGTGGAGAGCTCATGTTTTGTTGGACTGGGCCTTAAAGTCGCACCTCTTAGGCTTCCCACTTTGGTATTCCTTCCATATTGATCAGCCTCATCACTGAGCTCTCTCAAAAGATTCCATAGTGCATGAGGGTTTTAGGCTTCATATACCCATCTATTCACTCTGCTAGATCTAAAAGATGGATGAAGCAACAAGAATTTTCTGTGTATGTTTCCTCATATCATAGAGAGCACTTTTCTGGATCTTTGTGCACTGACAGAAAGTTACTTTTGTTTGTTGCCCTTAAGGAGTCTGGCAGGGTTACTTGTCCCTTGGTTTATCCAAAACTTGTAGAAAGTTAGACATTTTCTACTTAGATTATGTTAAAATTCTTATTTCTGACCAGTCACAGACCAGAGACCAAACAGAACAAGCTGTCTACATAAGTGGTTCAGATGACTGGACTCAGGTTCATGTGCTCTCTTTTCCATTCCTCTCCATTGTTTTGTACTCTTTCAATTCAATTTTTGCTCTTAATTGAGCCTGGAGCTACTGCATGATGGGCAGATGCTGCTCAGTCATGAAAGCATGATACTAGGTAAGGGTGTGTTGGGGCTGTGAGAGATGATGTTCTGTAAAGTCTTTGCGAGACTCTCTTCAAACATTTGCAGGCTGAAATGAAGCAGAGCTAGATTGATGATACATATTCCTTCCCTGTGTCAGGAAAGCTATTTATTGAAGAAATTTGCTGTACTAAGTCTCTTGTATCATCAGGGAGAGAAGTACAAAGGGAGATTGAGAATGTTTCTGTACTGTGCTTCCCAGAGCAGGTCTTAATGGAAGGCTGGATGTGAGGATGGAAGCCATGGACTCTCATGTTCTCTTTTATGAGAGAAAGCTTGTTTCACTGGAGGTACGGAAGCGTCGGCAATGCCATGGCAAGTCTAGAGCAGCACGAACAAGATCATCAGGTATGCTTGGCTAGAGTTTTAGATGAGCAGCTAGTCAAAAACAAGCAAGCAAAGACTTTTTCATTTGAAATGTGTGTGAATGGAATTGTTCTGGTTTCAATTATTAATAGCTTTTACTTCATTCCTCTTTTGAGCTTCTCACCTTCTTAGTGCCTCAGATTTCATTCTCATCTTTCCACATGTCCATGTATATGATTAAAAGTAATCAGTATTTGCTTGGAGATGAGTTTGTGTTTGCATTTGCATTTTTGGGTAAAACTTTTCAACAGTATGTGTGCCTCTGTAGTTCTTCAGTCTTGCAGACTAAAATGGGATCTTCCAGACTGGTTCTCCTACACAGCAGTGACTCTAAGCTGTTGGAAAGAGAGAAATGCTTCTTATCGAAGCTGATGTGGGAAAAACGTAAAAGGGTACAGAAATGAACAGTCCTCACAAGTGACTGTTCCTGAAGCCATTATCTAAACTGTTTCTGGTAGCTGTGTGATACTAACTGCAATGGGAGAGATTATATATTATAAAATGATTTTTTTCTGCTATGTTAAGGTGTATGATCTTCATTGGCACATGTGGAAGCTTAGATTTTACAGCTTTGCTATATTTGACACCCAAAATGCAAAACATTTAGTGTGTGTATATGTATATATACATATAGATATATATGTCAAGTGCTGGCATATATATATGTCAGCATATATGTAAGAATCAGGATAAAATATAGGAAAATGCCTTTGTTTCTTTGATTTCTGTGGTTTGGGTTTGGGTTTTTTTTCGTTTGTAAAGTTCAGACAAGAATCCTGGCCTGTCTCTCTGATACTGGGAAAATGGGCTTCTCAACTGTTTGATACACAAGCAGAAAGACAGACAGAATAATATGGTAGTGATGCTTAAGATGTTATTCTAAAATGGTGTTCTGTCCTTCTAGCAGCGAAGAGTTTAGGGTTAAGCCAAAGGGTGTAAACAACAGGACAGTCTTCTCCACTTCTTTTTTTTTTTTTTTTCTTAACCAAGCATTTTTTTCTTAACCAAGTATCAGTGATTTCTCCTCTATTACAGGCACATCAGAAACAACAAAGCTGACCCTCAAGTCAGACATGGAAGGTGAGGAGGAAGAGGAGGTGGATGCAGATGAAGATGAAGAGCTAGATAGAACTCTTAGTTCTCCTTCAGACACCCAGGTGAAAAACAAGCCAAAGGGCTCTGACCTGATAAAAACTACTTGTAAGGAGAAGCTGCCAAAAAAACTTGACAAGAAAGCTGGTGATGGAGAAGAGCTGCTTCCACAAGAAACAGACTCAGAATCTCAGTTTAACTTGCTTCAGATTCTTCAAAAGCGTGGGAACCTGAGGTGAGAGATTTCTGCATATTGCCTTTAGTTTTGACTTGCAACTAATACCCTAGAAAAGAGGCCTGGATTTTTGTCTGTCTGTGGGCTTGTTGGCACAGAAGGCAGATTGTTATCAAGTCTGACAGTTTACCTAAATGCCTGATCTGTTGGATCAGTATAAAGCATAACCCATAGTTTCCATTGCTATTCTTTAATCTGGTGATATAAGCTGTTCTTTGGTCAACTCAGGCTTCCAAAATGCCTCTGTCTTAATGCAGGATGCCTGCTACTGCATTCCAAAATTTGTCTTCTCATTCTTTGCACTTCCAAAGAAGTGAGTATAAGCATAAGTTAAACTATCCAAGAAAGGTTGAATAGGTACATCTCAGTGCTGTCTCTCTATAGTTTGTGCTTTTATTTTTGATCATAGAATTCTTTCTTCTGATCATAATCTCTGCTCAAGGTCATTGCCTCCTGAGAGCAAGATCAGGAGGTCATTTGAGAGTGATAGATTATTGATACATCATATTGCATGCTGTTGAGTATGATAGTGTGAATCAGAGTATGTTCTGATGCTCTGTTGCTTGCAAAAAAACAGCTGCTGGAGGAGATGCTATAGAATAACACCAACCAGGAACCTACCAGAGGTTTAGAAGTATGACCCTCCTCTTGAATATCGGTAGAAAAGCTGTCTAATTGCAGATGGATGGAAAGGGCTAAAAGAAAGTCTGATCATGTTTTTATGTGTAGGAGGATTTTGCATCTTCCAGACAAGAAGCAGCATAGTGTTTTCTGTGAAAAATGTCCCAAGTAGTGAAAATAAATGTTGCTTGTTGTTGCTTTCTTAGTTTAGTTTCTGAAAGAAATTATGGATTATCCAATGGATTTGGGGATTGTTCAGATGTTGTCTTGTGACAAGGACATTTGCTGTTGTGACAGGGAAGATTTTGAAACCTACTTTGAGAACAAACATAGCACTGCTGTGCCTATATCTACCTATATACAGAACTGACTCCTGCCAAGAATGTAAGCTCTGTCTGATGTTCCTGGCAGAATCTCACTGAGCACACAGCACTGTTGGGATTCCCCACAGAAATGTGCAAGACTTGTGGTGACCTCACGTTCCAAGATTGTGCTGGGCTTGGTCCCATCTGATCTGTCATTGATGAAAGCTTTTCTTGTGGAGTCAACAGGCAGAGGAGCTGAAATGAAATTTTAATCCAAAAGATACCAGGCCCCTTCTGGTCAGTTTTTGTAAGTGTAGGACTTCTCTCTCCTTTAGTCAGCCTGATAAGGAAATTTCTCTGCCTTCCACACATTAGATGTTACTGGAGGTGACAGTCAAATGAAACATGTTTCCCCAACTGTGCCATTCACAGGGAAGTAAAACATAAAGGTAGTTAACTTGTTCCTGCATTTACGTCCTCTGGTTTCAATATCCCACACACCAGAGAAGCAGCAGTGTAGTACAAGGACCTTCTTTGGTTTTTAGTCGTAGATGTATCAGGTGAAGGCAAAGAACTATATTACTGTGCTTATGTTGATAATGGCAGCTCCATAATTTCTGCCAGCACAAATCTTGAACTCCTGGTCATGAGAAGTTTGAGTTGCACCTGAAACAAACCTGGCAGCTCTAGGGAGCTTTGAGGGGAGATCCTTTTCTGATATATGGTGGCCCGATGTAGAGAGTATTAGTTCTTAGCTAGTTCTCCTGATGTTCCACACACATGGAAAGAGAATGTAGTCATGGTGAATAGCAGCATACAGAGCTCAGAGGTGTTACACAGCTTACTGTGCATTCTGTAGTTCACTGAAGTTCCTGGAAGACAGAAATTGTAACAAGGTGTTTTCATCATGTTTTAGTTGCTGCAGTACTGTATAGCTATCCACAGAGGATATTAGTCTGAGACCCTTATGAACTCATCATTTGCTTAGCCCCTTTTTGGCCCTGGCATGGTATTCCAGAAGCATCAAAAGTTAATGGTGCTTGGCTGCAGATGCATGGATATTTCCAATGTATTTTATTTTAATTTCAGTTCTTATCTAAATTGATGTATTGATCTCTGTAATTCCTAGTGTGTTGTTTGATTTCTGTGTAACGCTGTTACCAAGTGTTCATGAAATTTACAGACCTATAAACCAGAAAGACTAAATTGCTGCACAGAGTTTTTAATGGCATTCCAGAGACTGATGTAGAATATTTCTAAAAAGCAGAGAACAAGTAGGAAAAATATGGTGAGGTTCCTCAGGAATCAGAGGCTGATTTTAACGATCAGTTCAAGAATGACACAAAATGTAGAAATGTGCTGATGAAATTTGCCAATAGAAAAGATTTGGGAGTTATTACCATGAGAGAAAAGTAGTCAAATAAATATGAGAAGAACTGGATGGCCATGAGGGTAGGAATAATATAACTAGGATGAAATTCAGTTGCACAAAGTGCAAGGGTATGCTTTTAAGAACTAATAATTTGCAGCAGAAATTCAGTCAGCTGGGTGTTCATCAACTGGAAATTAATTATAAGGAAAAATATCTCGTATGCTTGTTGATCACAGGAGGTTTGCGAAGCTCTAGCTCATGAATGCATGAAAACACCAAATGTGGTCTAGGGTTTGTCACTTGACATACTTCTGAGACTTCACACGGAGTGTTATATACAGTTGCTATCACCCGTGTTCATGGAAGGTAAATTGTGGCTGGAATGGGTGAAGATGAGCTGCTAGTCTCATCATGTCACCAGTGTGGGTGCTTTGTTAGAAGACACTGAAAGATTTGGATAGTTCACACTAATTAAATGAAAACTATGAAAGGATGTAATTGTTGTTAATAAATACATTCAAAGTACAAGACCCATCAGGGATTAAATTATTTGAGATACAGGACAGTGTTGGAGAAATAAAAAGCAAATATAAACTGCTCATGAATGAAGCTGGGCTGGATAATAAAGAAGGTTCCTGATTATTAGAACAGTAAGTTTTGTAATAGTTTTCCAGGAAAGCAATGGTTTCAAAACTCTGGTTTGTTTTAAGATGAAGCTCCAAAATTTTTTAAAAAATATCAGGTTATTACCTGTGATAGGAAGGGGAATATGTCACAGATGCTAAAGCCGGCCTGCTGCTGCATACTTATAAAAAGCTTCTAGAGATGATGAGGGAAACTATGAGGAAGAGCAGAGACTAGGAAAGCAGACTGTTCCAGGACAGGGTTTAGACCAAGATGACAATGAACAGAATTAGGCAAAACTTTCAGCAATTTCTCTTGCAACAGATGCATATGCTGAAGTGACTACCATTGTGAGGGAATAAGAAGCGATGTGTCCCTCCCAGTCCTCTCCTCAGTTCATGCTCACAGCTTCTCAACATGTTTAGCCTGCTGCACAGCAGATTTTGCTGATGTTCTTTCATTCTTCAGTGGTGCCTTGCTCAATGAAATTTGGCTCATGTCCCTGGGCCAGCAGGGGAAGAGCTCACTTTCACAGATTTAATTCTTTCATTTCCAATGGGAATTACAAGGCCTTTGTTATAACTCTGGCAGCAGTACCAAGCCCTTTGTTTATTTTATGGTCTGTTGTTGTGGTGTTCAAAATGTTTGTGAAGACAGAGGCCCAGTAGAGGCCTTGAATTTGGTTTAAAAAAAACACAGTTTAACTGATGTTCATGTTACTGGCTTTTGGAGGAGAGTAACCAAGGCTGTGAAAGGCAGAAAGAGCATTCCCTACTTAGAGATGATCTTAGAGAGTATCTTCTGTCTTTTGTATCTCCTGTAATCCCTACTGCGTCTTGGTGAACTGAAGGTCTGCTTGAAAACGCTGATGGGGTGAAAGGGTCCTCCTTTGTTTGAGCTTCAATATCAGTGCACCTGAGAGGTCCTTGCTGACTGTGTGGTGGTTCATAAGCTGTGCCTGACTGCTGTAACTCTTGCCATTACTACTCTGAAGATAGCTGATTGATTCTTTTGGTCCACAGCAAAGTGCAAGCTCGCAGGGCTTTCTCTGCCTATCTGCAGCATGTTCAGTCCCGACTGATGGAGGAGGCTGGTGACCAGATACAGAATCCTGCCTGGGCTGCCAAAGAGGATGAGCAAATGGTAAGAAGCTTTGTGTTGGCCAGACTGAGAAGCTAAAGTGAAATCTGCCTTGTGAGTTTTGAGGTCAGTTCCCATCTTTGCAAGAACAGAAGTCCAACTGAGATTATGGTTGTCTATCACTGTCCAGCTGCCAGTACTGTTTTTAATATACAGATGAGGTCAGACTGCTGACTGACCTCAGAGCAGTGATAGAGTAGACAGCTCTTAATGACTGGACTGTGGTTGACATTCAGGCTGCTCAGATCTTTTGCTGTTTCTCCTTCACTGATTTCTGAGCTTACCTGCTTTTGAATTCTTCTCTCAAAGGTTTTTTTAAGAGTGCTTGGCAGTATCTGGTTTCTGCTACATTAAACAAAGCATACATCTACTCAAATACAACAGGTACCTGGTTAAGCTTGTTCTCCTATGTGCTGTTTTATTGTATCCAGACATCTGTACTGAAGAATCTTCCTTGCATTCTAGCTAGAGGAAATGAAGGTAAAAGCCACTGAAGAGAGAAACTTTCTAGCATTGTTTTGGTTTGTTTGTTTGTGGTTTTTTTGTTGGGTTTTTAATTTGGTTGGTTTTTTTAAACCAACAAAAACATGTGAACTTTTCTAGACAGTATTTTAAGGCCCTGTATTTGATGTGTATGCATTTTAGCGTGCAGCAGGCCCAGATCCCCTCACAATCCTTCCTAAAAGAGCTTTGTACAGTAGGCTCTTGAGCTTTCTGAACATTTGACGGTATTCTCACTGAATGCATGTTGCAGAGAAACAGCCAGTGCACTTCAGAGATAAAATTCTGTGTCAAGAACCATCAGTCAGCTCAGTGGAAAATGTTACCTCTGCTCTTTCCAAGTGGAAATTAAAACTGGCTCTTTGAGAGTCACTGTCTGCTGTACTGTGAAAAATAATGTTTAAAATAACAGATCAACCCAGCCTGGAGTAATGGCAGTGAGAGGCGAGCTGTGAAATCCAATAGTTTGGCTGTGAGGCTGCTCATTTATGCATTAGCAGAGCTCCAAAGCAAAAGCAAATCCAGAGGGGAGACAGAAGGGGTTCAAAATACCCACAGGATGCATCTTTCCTTTGGATCTGCCTTGCCATATGTATCCCCCACCAAAGTTCAAACAGACATGGTGGGGGATTGGATTTACATGTCTGGCAATGTAGTCATCTGTTGCTGTGGGGAGGATGTGGCAATAATGTGTATATATATGAAAAGTGATGAAATAAGGCTACACTACTGTAGTGGAGATATCTGACCAAGATCCCCTTCCCTCTGGTAGTGCTGAGAGGGTTTTATGTCAGTATGCTCTGTCACAGGCCTTCTTTAGCACATTGCAAGTTGTTTTTTGGAAACATTGTCCTAAGGTATTTTTTTACTTCACAGGTTTTTCTGTATTGTTGATGCTTTTTGCTGCTTGGTTATTTTCTTTTTCCTTTGTCTACTATGCTTTTCAGACAAACACTTTTCACATGTTCCAAATTCTGACCCACCTTAGGCAAGGCACACCATCATTGTTCTCTCCCACCTTGGATTTGTGTATTAAAAGTGCACATTGCAGAATACTTTTGTCTGCCAGTTACAGCTCATTTTCTCAGGATGTTGTGTTTAGTTCTTACCAGTCTACTCTACTGTAGTACCTCTATTCTTTTCTCCCTGTGTCTTGCATAAGGTCCATTGTTAACTCCGTCTCTCTTGCTGGCAGGAGCTTGTGATACGCTTTCTGAAGCGAGCTGCCAGCAACCTTCACCAGTCCTTGCGGATGCTTTTCCCCAGCCGTCGTTTAGCGCTAAGCGATCGTCGGCGTGTGCTGGCTCACCAGCTGGGAGAGTTCATAATCTGTTATAACAAGGTGACTAATTCTTTCTGGATTCTTCTTCTGGTCCCTCTTTTGATTTCTGTTACCTTTTTCTAAAGTGTCTCCTGCAGGCTGTTCCAGAGGCACTGGTCTGTCATTTACATGGTCTGCTTGCAGCTGTGCATGCAGTAATGGTGGATGCAGTCTGTTCAAATTGTCAGATAGACACAGTCATATTACATTATATATGCAGTCCAGTAATCATGTGCATAAAAACAAAAAGAAGTGCTGAAATGAAGTGGAATTTAACTGGCAGTTTGCTTTTTCTTCGCCTTGTCTTCAATTTTAGTGCTTGGTAATGCCTCTTCCCACTTCTCATTTTTGTGGTGCTTCTTTAGAGATAATTTTTTTGTACAGAATGGTATGAAATACGTATTTAACCATTTGTTTAGTATCCTGAGGGACTGCTACTTATCTGTAATAAGGGACTCTGCATGCTCAGTGTTAAGGAGATGTAGGTCTCAATTTAAATAACTTTTGCACCTTGCAATGTAGAAGATGCTGTTCTTAGCATAGTGGTTTCATGCTAATCCTTGTTTTGCAAGGACAGCTTCCCCTTTCCTCTGCCCTTTAGTGTTTCTTTAGTGTTAGAACAAGGGTAGTTGAAATTTTGATTTCAGAGGCTGCTGTGCACAGAGGCCTCCAAGCTCCTACTCGTTAGCAGAGGATGTTCACTTAGATTACCCTGTCAGAACTGACATCTGGTAACTTGATCTGTCTAAGCGAGGTTGGTATTGAACCAAATCTTTTCCAGGGAGTGCCTTGTATGCCTAATGCTCACTGAATTACTGTGTTAGGAGTAACCACAAAACACTTGGGTGGCTCTGTGGTGAGTGAAGAATGCAGCTGCTTTGGATATAATTTCCACTCAAATTGTATTCAAACATCAGGATTTTCTGCTAACACTTGAGTAAATTCGCAAAATAAAGCTGTGTAGCTGGTAATAAATCAGTGCATAAACATATTTTCTCAGTTAAAACAAGTGAGAACATATCACTTGAGCTTTTAGGGCATACATGTTTAAGCCACTGAGAGACTGTTAGGCCGTGAGTTTTTTTGATGTCTGATTCCAACATACAGACTGCTTTCATTGACTTGTAATTTCAGATTTAGTAGGGACTCCTACTAGCCATTATATATCTTCTGTAATGACACAGAAGAAAAAACACTACCTCCAGGAAACTAAGTAAAACAGATCACATATTTACTTAAGTAGTGAAAGGTAGAGATGTCCCATGCTGGCTTTTTCTTCCCCTGCATGAATTATCTTGCAAAAGATGTATCTGACCCTTTCATCCTAGGAATGCTCAAGGTGAAGGTTAGTGAGGGGGGTGTCAAGTCTAGTCAGATAAAGCTTTTATTCTGGTATTGGTATTTCATGAAGGTTTGGGGTTTTTTCATGAAGAAGAATGTCTGTATCAATATAACTTCGAGTGTCAACAAGTTCTACTGGTGTAAAATAGAAAGATCATTTATGTCTGAGAGCTTGCTCCCATTCTCTCACACAAAGGCTTACCGTATATTTCATTATAGTTTAGTGTACTGAAACTTGTTTGCCACAGGCAGTACTGTTTTGCTTTCTTAGCTTTTGCTAAAGCACTGTGGTTTTGGTATGTATATAAGCCCTCAGCAATTTGCTGCATGACAAAAGAAACTAACTCAAGAGAATGTAGAGTTTACAGTGGAAAATGTGGATGCCATCCACAGACATCCTTGACTGAGTTCCTTTAATATAATTTAATATTTTCCCTCCTTTCTTCATCAATATCAATCTACTTCTGGGGCAAATGCTGAACTAAAAGCTGTTTTGAGGAACTCTGTGACAGAAACAGTAGAAGTAGAGAAAGGACCTAATATGTGTAAAGAATCATTTTAATTTTTTTTCCCCCTTATGTCCCAGCAAAGAGTATATTTGAAGGAACAGCACGTTCCTGTGAAAGCTTGACCTTTTCTCAGCAAATCAGTTATGTCAGGTGAGGAATGAGGAGTTTACTGTGTACTTAGGATGCTGTCTCTGGGGCTCTCTGTATTTATTCAAGCTGTTGTACATAGTGAAATACTTATAATTTGGCTCCTTGGAGTTGACATTCTTTTTTCTTAGATCCCATGGAATTGTTTTTGTATTCTTGGATCTGTAGCTCTGCTGTGGAACACAGAGACACTTACTGATACTGCTTATTAACAGGAAACGGAGCAGATGGTTCAGAAACAATCAAAAAAGAAACAGGAAGAGGAGGAGGAGGGAGTGAATCCTGAAGGTTTTCAGAACTTTATTACCAGAGCAAGGTAGGAATAGATTTTATTCCCTTTGAAGGATCTCCCAGTCCTGAAGGTGATGGGATTGTTCTAAAGATGATTTGATGGATCTAAAGGCCTTTAGACACCTTTACTGACTGTAGGACCTGCTCCTGCTGGGGCACAGAGAGCTTGTCTTTTTTCTTTTCTCTCTTCCAGCAGCCAAACACTTGTAACTTCAGCATCTGGTGCATAGAGAAGGGCATACAGTAGATGTTTTGACCATTAAGTAGCTTCCCAAAGGACAGCAGTGGTTGCCCTGGTCTGTGTAAATTTCAGACTGATGCTGGTGAGCTATTGGTCTCCTTTCCTGTGATGCTGGAGCAAACATGGCAGAACTTTGGAAGGAGAATGAAACTAGAACTGTTGCTCAGGTGATCCTGAGCTTCTGTGATTGAACAGTTGTTATGGCTCTGACTCTCAAATTTCTGCTCCCTGAAACAAATCTCATGCTTGCTGTCTCCCAGAAGTCTTCCAGTCTGGACTTTTTGAGATGGGCAAGAAAGTGAGTTAGGCCTCTTATTCAACCTGCTAAGGCTGTTCAGTGCAAGCAGTTACTTTCACAATGAAAAACCAGCATTTTTTATCTCTGAACTTTACCTGCCTGAAACTTACAAGAGTCTGATAGGAAACATGTTTTGAAAATAGTTAAGTACTCCTTAGGGCCTGTAGCATTGTATGAAAAACAATGGTATTGTAACTGTCTGACTATGGAGAGGTCTGAAATTGTTCAGTGAACTGGAATTACATTCTCAAAGTCTCTGATTCTGGAGCACAAAAAGCAATTCCTTTTGACTCCATTATTTGACCCATATATAGCATGCCTATATGGGAATGAACCCCTGTCAGTATCTGGACAGGTAGAGTTAACCTGTGTTTTAATGCCCTTCTGTCTTCTCTGGGAAGGTTGATGATCACTGTTTCTTTTTCATGACCAGTTATGAAACTGTTCTTTCTTTTTCTCTGGATAGCATGCTTAGTGACTGATTAGAAGTGGGTGATACCTCAGGCATCTTAACTAAGTTCAGGAGGCTTCACAGTCTTTTTTGATGCTAAATTCTCATGAAAATTATTAATTTTACATTTTGCTGATATAATTGATGGAGTCATTACTGCAACAGATTTACAGGCTCCTAGAAAAATCTTGTTGATTTCAGAGAGAGTTCTGTTAAAGAATGATAAAGATGTCTGACTATTGTACACCTTAAGATCTACTCCTGTCACTATAGATGCATATTACATGGTCCCATGACGTGCTCTTGGTTGTCTGACCTTTCTGGCTGCTAAAGTGACCATTGCCTGCTAGGGCAGGTAATTTTTCTTTTTGCCATAACTGAGAAAAGATGGCTGCTTAGGTCTTCTGTTTCCATGTTATTGTCTACTATGCCATTGTGGCCTGATGTACAGTCTAGGCTGGGACTGGAGAATTTTGGTTGTTTGCTTGAGTGATAAAGAACAGCAAAAGCCAGTTTGCCAATGATAAGACAATTTCTAGTGATGATCTTTCTGCTTCTTATGAAGTATGAGGTATGTTTGAAAACTATATCTGACACTACTTTGCACGGTGCTTGAAGCTTAAATTAGTGAGATAGCTATTTGGAGTCAAGCAAAAGGTGTAGATTTCCACTTTGAGTGTTTGTTCTGCAGTGCTGTGAATGCAGCAGTGGAGAAAATGGGTAATAAATGTTACTTCTTAGTTGAGATTGTCTCATTGGCTCTCTAACTTTGATGTCACATGGATGGCAATTGTGTTTGGTTATACATATGCTATGACCATTGATTCTAAATGTCCTGTATGGAGTTTTCACTTGCTCACTATTTATCCTGGGAAGGCTCCTGAATAGCTTTGATTTCCTACTGCATAAGAAAATGGCATTTCAGTGGGAATCTGATGTTTAACAAAGGCATGTTGCTTTCCTTCTGCTCTTACTCTGCAGAACTGAGCAAATCATTAGGTTGTCTGGTCTCACCTTTTTTCCACTCCCCTCTTCAGTCTCCTTATCATTTATTGTCTTTGTTACATGAATGCAGAAAAGCTTAGCATCCTCACTCTACATCCACTCTTCTCTCTTTATTGTAGTGAAAGTGACCTGGAGGAAGTGCTGACATTTTACACACACAAAAACAAATCAGCAAGTATCTTCCTAGGAACAAACTCCACAAGCACAAAACCCAGCAAGGGCAGTCACCAGTCAGAGAAACAGCTCCAAGCTGGTAAGTTTTGCAGGCAGTTCTGGGATCATATTGCCCAGACAAATCCAGTTTAACTTCAGTCCATGAAAAGTCAACAACCTGTTGATCATGTTACTCAGGTTTCTTGGGGTTGCTTTTTTTTTTTTTCTTTTTTTAACTTGCTCTTATGTGAAGACTAGAGGAACTGCACTTTTACCTTTCTTGCCTGAAGTGAAATGGGATGAATCTGGCCTGGCATTTATAAGGAACTAGATATGGTGGCTCATGACTGAAATGAGAATGTGCAAACTGAAGTCAGTAAGAATTGAAATGAACAGAGAATCCTGAACTCAAAGCAAGGGATGAGAGAAATCAAGGTGTGTTAAACTGTGCTGTCATCAGCGAGCATACGCATTGGAGGGCAGAGTCTGTATATTTGAGCCTAATTAGACATTCCATGGAAGGAAGTGCAATGCGAGCCATATGTACCTCGTAGTACATGCTACTGTGCATGACTGTGACAGTTGTCACCAGTATAGTTGCATGGTCTGTGGGAAATATTAGGAAGAATGTCCATTATAGCAAGGTTAAAATATGCAGTCTTGTTCTAATGATACCACAGTTTGCAGTGTTCTATTTCCTGGCTCCTTGATTTCGTTACAGGCCATCCTGAGGTGGTGAAAAAAATAAAAGGTGATCAGCTCAAAAGTTCAGTTGCAAATCTGCCTGCAGAAGGAGCATTAAAAGGCTCTAAACCCAAGGAAGCTAAATCAACCTGTAAGTGAACTGTCTTAAGTCTTTATCAAGCAAAAAAATACTGAGTGTATATATTGTTTTTAATATGGTTTTAAACTGAGAGATTCAAATGCCCAATTTTGGGGAAGATACTTCAGGTTTTACTTTTAAACACAGGAGGAAGACACTGTAGAATGAGTGCTAGGAAAGAGATAGCTGCCCCTCTGTGGGGGAAATACCTAGGTATGGCAGGCTTTGAAAGAGGGTATTTATCATGTAGAGCCTCTTGTCTTTGTTAATAGATGAGGTCATTTTAGCTTTGGTGTGTCTGAGTAGAGGCATATTTGGTGTGTTGATGTTATCTGAAGGACCTAAAAAGCAGATTTTGTCATGTAGTGTTTTCATTATCTTTCTGTAGGTCCAGAAGGACCCACTATCTCCTTAAATGCCGAAGTGAAATTACCTCGATGTGGCCTTCCTAGTGCTCCTTCCTCCGTTTCTGATGCCACGTTCCAGAGAAATACCAGTTCCTGGATATTGTCTCAGCCTGCAGCCTCTGAAAATTCACAGGCGGGTGGTCACCATTCATTGCTGGCTCCTCCAGTTGGTCCCAGGCTCATTCAGTCCCCGTCCTCACTACCGTCCTTGCAGAGCACAGCTCCTGACAACTCTTCTGTCTTCACAAACCCAGTGTCCAGTGAGAATTCTAGCCTTTCAGGGTTACATCGTTGTCGTTCTGGTAGCTACACCATTGGCCCATTCTCGTCTTTTCAGAGAGCTGCTCAGATCTACAGCCAAAGATTGTCCCGACCATCCTCTGCAAAAGTAGGTGAGTGTTCTGGGATGCATAACAACCTGCTAGTTCAGTACAGAGATTGTGCAGTCTTTATTCTGGAGTAGGTAGAACTTTTACATTCCCAGAGTTGAGTCTTGTGGAATGATGGCAAATTTCTTCTGGAAAGGAGGAGTGCAGGATACAGCCCTTGTTTGCAGAAGATGTGCTTTCATTGACCAGATGAACAGGCAATCATAGGATCATTTAGGTTGGAAAAAACCTTTAAGATCATCAAGTCCAACCATTAACACTATCAAGTCCATCACTAAATCGTGTTTCTAAGAGCCCCATCTACGTGTCTTTTAGATGCCTCCATGGATGGTGACTCAACCACTTCCATGGGCAGCCTGTTATACTACTTGACATCCCTTTTGATGAAGAAATTTTTTCTAATATCCAATCTAAACCTCTCCTAGTGCAACTTGAGGCAATTTTCTCTTGTCCTGTTGCTTGTTATTTGGGAGAAGAGACCAACCCCCACCTCATTACAGCCTCCTTTCAGGTAGTTGTAGAGAGTGCTAAGGTCTCTCCTCAGCCATGTAGTTTGAACTCAGCCTTTGAACTTGTTCAAAAAGAGTTGGTAAACTAAGTATTGTATATTTTCTTATTATATTAATGATCTCATGTATCTGTAGTGACTTTAATGTTGTTTTCATTAGCAGAAGTCCTTCTCTGTGTGCTGTTCTTAGTTCTCTATCAAGCCTAGAAATCTTTTACTGAAACCTCATAAGTGTTGAATACGTAAAGGTGTGCCAAGACCTCCAAAAAGGAAAGATCTGAATGAATCATGACTGTAACTCATTCTCTAGAGTGTTTTAGCACTGCCATATCCAAAAGTATTCTAAAAACAAGATTTAGGGAACTCTCATCTATCATGGTGGGCTAGAGCACAGTTGAGCAATGCAACTTTAGAATGTAAGAAATCTGAAGGGTAGAAGAAAATCTGGGAATTTAGATGCAGACTGTAATCTATTAGGAAGTTTTGGGAAGCACACACAGGCTGTGGTTGTGATAATATTTAACTTTTTGTATTTTTGAATGATAGTATGTCAGGCTTAGCACATGTTCACTAGGGTTGCAGTGTGTATATATATATATATA